ATACTGTTTGTTTAAAATTAATCTGACTTATTTTAGAGAAATCAGCCTCTATCTAATTTCCTAACACGTCGATGATATGCTAGCCTCTTATTCCTATGAGTGAAATGACAATGTGATGTGATTGTCATCTGCACAGAGCAAAGCAGGCCTTCATCTGATTAATCTTATTCTGTACACTGTACAAAAAGTGGGCCTCAATGTATGAGATTCTTTTAGGCCCTAAAGTGAATTGTGTCCTTGTTCGACTGATTTCTCTGTCATCACGTTGAAAACTTGAATTATGTTTGAACTCTTGTAATCTTTACATTTAGTTCTTCATCATTGTGTAATACTAATGTCTTTAGTATTTATAATATAAAACATGCGGGTATAGGAAAATATATTTAATAGTCCTCTTTTAATTCTTTTTTTTTCTAATATGTGGAGTACCAATATTAGGCAGATAATGTCACTTCTAATAAAGACAAAAGTGTAATTTTCTTTTAATAAAATGGGGATGTGATGTTTTATTTGTAGATCAAGCACATGTACTTCAACTATCATATATTTGCACAAACTAGTATGATCAGCTGATTTCTGAAAGTTATACAAAGCAGTTTGTTCCAAATAAAAGGGTCCAGGAGTCTAAAATCGAAGGCAATTAAATTACATTAGAATAAAGACATATTTGTATGCATATTGGGTAGTGCATACAAGAGTTAGACAAACCTTTTTGAGGGGCAAAGGTCATGGCGATGTGTTTGCACGTTTTAAAATGAAAGGTTGCCTCGTTTCATTCATTAATCCCAGTCTTAGTCATAATCTCTTAATCCTAATAACAACACGTAATTTCTCCATATGTGACATATATGTATATGCTGAATGTGGCAATAGAAACCTCCTCTATAGTGACTTATTCCACACTGTTGAGATGAAAACACGATGTAAAGAAGCCGCTCTCATGAAACATGCAAAAAAAAAAGACCAAGAGATAGTTAAATGTGTTTCTTTGGATGCCTGTTAATTATGGGTTTCTTTAATGCTGATGGTTGCCATGACTACACATTGGATGAGATCATTATGTTAAAATTAGAGAATAGTTAAAAAAAAAAAAAAACAAATCAATGACCCAGGAGTAAGAGTACACATGGAATTTGTGTTACCTATTTCTTTGTTCTTGTGAGAGGAACATGACGAGGCTGATGGACAATAAAACCAGCAGATGTTACGAATGGGAGGTATTTTCTGCAAAAATCCCAACAAAATGAAAATTAAAATGAAATAGCACCATTTGCATTTGAATTTTCCACTCATGTATGAGTCAGATGTGAAAAATTTAAAAATAAAATTAAGAAACCTTTTTGCCTTTTCATTTTCCAGTTTGACTTTTCATTTCTTACTTTGCTTTTTCATTTTCAAGTTCCCAATGTGCAAATATATGCTAATTGGAGGAGGCGGTGGGCGGAGCTATGGAACACTGCTGCGCTTCTCAGTACGTTCGCTGATTCCGTTGTCCTTGTGTTCCTTGCACATGGTTGCCCGTGTCGCCCAAACTAATGGAAAAGTCACACGGGGCCTAAGTTAGCTATTCATTTGCAGCTTCCGATTCATTTAGCTTAATTTAGTTTCATTTTAATTTTCATTTTATCATTTTCATTTTATTCTTTGCAGAAAATACCTCCCATAGTTACGCAATTCTCAATTTTAAATGAAAAGGGGCAAACAAATGAATACTGACTAACTAAATGAATATTAACTAATTAATATTAACTAAGGAAATGCATCTTAATAAATCCCTGTGATTTAACTTTGAGGACATTGAAGTCTTACATAGCAAACATGACTTATAACAAGACACACAAATGTTTCTATTCTGGATTTTCAATACTGAATTTTTCCTAGAATAAATAACTCTTAAGAAAGGATTTTCAAAAACTGCATTTCTGGATATATGAGATATATATAGACAGGGGTTAAAACGATTTGTTATGTCCCCTAAAAATGTCTTCATTTATATGCTTTATGTTTTGTTGTCTGTTTTCATTCAATGTTGTCCCCAGTATAATTTGTAAATATCAATAATTGATGAGTTTCAAATAAGATTGAATTCTTTTTGTATTTTTAATATCTGCCTGTTTTTTTCTGCTTGGTAAGAAGATTATTTTATAATACCATAGAAAGAAAGGTTCATCACCCTGTATATCCAGCCAGTAGGGAGCGGATTCTTCTCATAGTTCTTTACTTGTGAATAAAATACACAGCATTATGTATCATTTTTGAAGTTTTCTACTTTTCAGCAAAAGTCAAATATTTAAAACAGGATCACTACATCTGTTTCACGCACAATAATTGTCATACTACCCTAGTGTCTATACATGCATCTCTTTAAAAATGCATTAAAAGTTATGCTGTTCTCAAAATACTGAAAACGTATTTCTGTCATTAGGCTGACAATGTGGTCATTTCTTGCCAAACAAATCTGTCCGCCCTCCCTGGGAGTCTGACTCAATCGCTTTTGCAGCCCCCTTGATGAGATTACATTCTCTTTAATTATTCAGAAATTAGCCAGTCTGATTATTAACTTTTTCCCATTTAGGAAGCAAAAGACAAACTTGGGGTCCATTTGCGTGTACAATGACCTCATGATGGGCTCTTGCGCACAGAGAATGACTATTTTAAAGAGCCGAGCATTGCACTACTATTTGATCATAACGGGACTTCCTATTTCAAAAGGACCACAGCTGACATTAGAGTAATTGTGCCTAAATTTAGCTGTAGGCAAGCACACTCAATTTCTCTAAATGTTTGCAGACATTTAATAATATGCTCTATTTCTCAGTTTCTTCTCTGCTGTCTCATAACATTTATGAGGGAAAAATCTAACACTAATTAAGATATCTTTTCCAAAATATTTTATTTACACTTAGATGTTTCATTGAAACTGAGTTGTATAATGCAGAGTGCGGTTTTAATGTCTGAAAATACCGGTCCTTAGAGCTTCTTATGTATCTTTTTCGTCTTCAGTCTGGTCCTATCAGTCTTCTCATTACACCGCAATGTGGTGTTATGACAATGAATGAGAGATAATGTGAAATAATGAATTCACTTCCATGCTTTCTCTCTTCAAAAACAATCAATGATAAATGTTTAAAATGAATATACAAACACAGGCAGTAACATGCACAAACAGTTGCTAGAATCAATCATTACACAAAGTATATGTCAGTAAATCATGACAGCCCCAGGTAAACAAACAGAAGAGTGTGCACTCGCGGAGCGTCCTTGTGACTCAGATGGCCCACATCACGGGGGTGACGAGTCCCGTCTGGCACCAGCACCAGTCACAGCTGCGCAGATGAGGCAGCTCTCTACACAGTCTCATGTCCATGCCTCAGTCATGCCAGTGAACTAAAAATTTGGTACCTATTTGCACATCTAATAAAAAACTCTTTATCTGTTTAAATGGCTTTCATTTAAAGCTGAAAGAGAGAAATGGGAAATAAACAACTGAGAAGCAGTTCAGGGATGTGGTCCCAGTGCACCCAGTGATATGTCTTATACAACATGCCATTAATTAAGGGTGTGTGGAAGCCTGGCTTAATTTAAAACAACCACAGCTACTTACCTAGTGCAGGGTAGCTTGTTGGCCAAGGGAATATCCCAAGAAGTACAGAGCAAAATGCAACCTGCATGGGATGCCAGTCAATCTCAGGGTACATCCGCTCATGTGCAGTCACATCACTCACTACGGGCACTCACAGTTCCTCTCATATGCAGTCACATCACTCACTACGGGCACTCACAGTTCCTCTCATATGCAGTCACATCACTCACTACGGGCACTCACAGTTCACCTAACCACAACTTTCTGAAGAAACCTGCATATTGTGCAATTTACAGTCACGGTGCCAGGGGAGCCAGTGTTAGCTGCTGATTCACAATGCCAATAAAGAACAAACAATATATATATCTGAAACTGAATCTTTTATTTGCCAAGGACAGAGAAGTACAAGGAATTTCTTTTGATGCAGGTGGTGTCGTGACAGAAGCAAAGTTAAACATACTAGTAAATATCAAGAATATCAACATTATTTTTTTGGCTCTGTTCCACATCCTAGATGTGTACAAGGCTTCAAACAGGGGGAGCTGACAACCAATGATCTTCTCCATGCATCGCATTATACACTGCAGTCTCTTCTTAGAGTGCGACGTTGCAGAGCCAAACCAGACACAGGTGGAGGATGTAATAATTGATTCTACTGCAGCCGTGCAGAACTTAGCCATGAACTTATTTAGCTGATACAAGAAGTATAGGCGCTGTTGGGCCTTCTTAGTGATGGAGAAGATGTCCGTATCCCATTTGAGGTCTTGTTGGATGATGGTTCCCAGAAATTTGATGGTTCCAGCTCTGATAATGCTAGTGTTTCGTATGACCAAAGGTGGTGTTGGTTTTTTTTCAGAAGTCATTGATAATTTTTTTTTTGTGATCAAATCTAATATTTTATGCAAATGTTTATTGCACTTTAATGCATAGTTTTATTATATCTTTGGTGAAAGTGTGTTTTACAGATTTTACACTTTTATAGTTCTTCTCTGGGAGCTGGAATTCGTATTTTATGGCTTATAATTATAACACTCCTACATACAAAGTCAAATTTTTCTCTACATTTTGGTCGACAGACCTTGAAATACTCTTCCACAAGCTCGTTTACAGTAAATCAGAGCGGCGCTATCCAACCAGACTTGCTTCCTTATAGCAACAAATACTCAACGCATTTAACATCTATTGGTGGTAAGAAATCATGGGTTATAAGTGGACCAATCGGTAAAGCGTGCGTTGATATCACGTTGCCGGCGAACGGCGACGCCCTCCGCGGCCGTCGGTGACGTCACGCTGTGTACAATCCGGCCAAGATGGCTGACAGCATCCAGCTACACCCGGTACGGAACAGCTCTAAGAAAAACCTTTACTACAGTGCGGGTAGACATGGCAGGTACTAAACACGCGTCTTCCTCTATGGTATCGCGAAGGAGAGACTACTGCTTGTGACTTAACGTGAGAATGAACGTGTTTTCGCTATGTGAGGTGCGGTGGTTGCACTGACAGCACCCCCGGAGTTTGGTTATCCCACTGAGGTACGCAGGCCCTTCGGTTGTGTGAGGTGCGGAGGCTGCGTTGACAGCACCCCCGGAGCCCGGTTGTCCCTCTGAGGTACGCGAGCCTTGAGCTACGCCCTTTAAATAATAACTTAATTGGTTAACGGGAAGTTTAACTCGACGCATCGGGATGTAGCTCATTTTTGTTACTTCACCTGTTATACTGAGTGCGGTTAGAGACTGGACCGCTTGTGGGCTGCCAGCCAGCCTAGCCTAGCCTAGCCTAGCCGAACCGGGGTCCTTGGAGGAGAGCTGACCTTAGCCGTCCGGTGCTATGTTCCTACCCGGAAGTGGGGTACCGGCAAATACCGGGAAGTCGTCTGGCAAAAGACACCAATTTTACGGACGACCAGAATACTACTGATAGACAGATCTGGCTGTATGCTGGAAGTTTGCATCCCTCAGAAAACGTGTATGTATTAAGTACTTATGAAACGACAGCTACGCGCAAGTTAGCAAAGAACTGGTCGTATGCTGTTCAGCCCTTTACGGTGAATCAGGTTAATAGGGTTTTGGGCCTTTCTACTGATTACTTTTTCCATCTTCATTAAAAGTATGGAATATCTTAATAATGAGTGATTTGAAGGACTGGCCATTTTACTTGGCATTTATAGCTAAATTCTGCCAGTATTGATAGTCCTGGACAAGATATCACACATACCATATGCAAAGAATGATAATGTTGTACAGAAAGTTTGGAGATTTGGAGTCAGACATTGTAGAATTAAATGCTTGCTTTGGCTGATGAATCAATAAACACCTTTGGATTTTCATTTTTCATTGCATCTCATAGTCATAAGGATGCCACTGATAAATAATTTCAGGCGCAGGCTTAGAAACATGGAACGGATGTCCAGGAAATGCCGCAAACTTACACTATTGTTAAGAATAATCTGTTTGCCAAGAGATAGCAACAGAACTGTGTTCTAAGCCATTCTGCTTCAAAGCAATTCCAGTTGTCCATCCATTCATCCTTCCATCCGTCTTTCCATGTTACACAGCTGCTTATCCAGTACAGGATTACAGAGAGCTGGGAGACTATCCCAGGAAGAGTAAGACTAGGGTACACCCCGGATCAGATGCTGTTCCATCACGGGGCACACACTCACACACTGAGGGCAGATTTGAGGCACGCATTCATCTACTGGGACTGCGAGGGGAAACAGGAGTACCCAAAGGAAACCCACTTGTCTATCAGCTGTCTTTCCAATAGTGACCTTTGCGACCTTCTCAGTTTCTTGCTGGATATTGATTAAGCACCTCAGCTGGTTCCAGGATGGGTAGCTGCAGTCATCTGGTGGCCTGGTCACATGTCAATACCAATTTGTCCATCACTTTTAACCATGCTAGTATTTTCAAGCTATAGAGCTAAAAATGCTAGCATTCACTATCAATATTCACTGTTTATAACAAGCTGCAATTGCACCATAACTGTGGATGTTAAAATGCTTCCTAAGAAGTACAGGAAAAGAAGTCCTGATTTGGAAATGGTCTAGCTGCAGAAGGAAGACCACTTAAAAGTTTAATGGGACAAATAAGGCAAGGTTTTGCAGTAAGAAGAAGCTCTCACTGTAACTGAGTGCTTGCCTGGGCTGTTTGGATGGGAGGTTAACATGATACCCTGTGGGGACTGAGCTTGTCCCGCTGCATTAAGGACACTCCACAGTGCGGCATTCGAAATATGCCGGCCTATGTGAAGACAGGATGAATGCAAATTGCAAAAGTTCTTGAATCTGCCCCTGTCTTTTGTGTGCTCAGTCAAGCGGCGCTCCGTGTCCGGTGACGGAGTGTCCTGAATCCCAGAGAGAGTGTTTGTGAAAGGGACATTATCTGCATGCGGCCGATTGTGCCAGCTTCGTGAATAATGCAGCGAGTCAGGTGTAGCTGGATCCTGTATCAGGTAATGCTTGCATTATTTCTCAGCTGAGTCCTGCTCGTAGCATTCAGGTCCTCGTATATACATTTCCAGTGTAGTTACTGCAAACGTTTTCTTCTTTCACCTGCTCTACCCGATTACTGTTAAGAGTAGAAGGAGGAGGCAACTTATGCTGTTGATGTAGACCCAGGTAGAATGGTGAAGTTATGCTGAAGGCCTTTTCCTCATAGCAGGAGTGCCGGCTGGGAGATAACACTTTTTAGAGTATATCGGGTACAGGTTTCAGTCTCATTAAGAGCTCTGAATTCCATGTGTTGACTTGCAGTTTTAATTTGCTACATTTAATTATCGTTGGATAAATAGTTACAGAATATGGGTGGATGGATTGTAAACACTTGGATATAACATAATGCATCACTAAAAGACATGATTAGCCATTTTATGTATTAAAGATTTATATATACACGTATATATATTGTATACTTGTGTTTTATAGCCAAATTACTGATGCAGCTATTCTTCATGATTGTTTTAAATGCAAGCATTTAACAACAGCTTTGGATTTTGTTACATCAGCTGGTTCTTGGCCACGATTTCAGTTTTGTTAGATATTTATGTGTTAATCTGACTTCTGTGTCTAAGATTGCCTTGTCATGGCTGTGTTTGTTCATTTTGAAGCGCAGTAACGTGCCTGACTGTTCCCTGTAAGCGTGAAGATGTGTATGCTGTCATCAGTCAGCTGAGAAGGCACGCTCATCTTTAGTGTGATCGATGTGGGGTCACTGTCAGACCCCTGAGATGATCTGCTGGGTTTTCCTTAGCTTGGCCTTGTGAAGAGTGCCAATAGCAGGTGATTTATTCTGTACGATTCAGCAGCTATGAACGTTCCTGCAGCCTGTGCTGGAAGTTTCTCCCTCCAAGGCTGAATGTGCGACCTGCCGCTTTGCACCATAGTAGAGCTCATAGGAATTTCATTTGAATTCGATCCAAGTTACCTGTCATCTAATTAAAAAATGCCTGATTTAGGTTGACTTTTAGACTGTGCTCCAGAGTTGTAAAAACTCAGTACTGTGAGTACCAAAATGGGTCTTGCCAATTAGAACTCTAATGTATTCTTCCATCTGTTCATCTTCAAACTGCTTCCCTTGGTGAGGGTCATGGTGGCAGCATGCCTAGTAGGTCAGATCAGACCTCTCTCTGGAAGGCCACATACTCCAGCTCATACTGAGGGATTCCTGGGCATTCCCCAGCCAGCTGGGAGGTATAATCCCTCCAGAATGTCCTGGGTCAGCCACAGAGCCTCCACCCAGTGGGATGTATCCAGAACAGCCCCCTTGGTAGCCAGCTGGGTTGCATCCCAGGTATAGGTATAGGTGTACAGTAGGTGTAGGTGTAGGTGTAGGTGTATTTAATGTATCAGAAATAGTTCCACCATGATATTCAGTACTGTTCTTAGGTAGTTAAAGAAAACAATTTAAGCTGGATAGTAAGTGTATGTTTGTTAAAAGACATTCACACAGTTTAATAACAGACCATATGCAAATTAACAGTGACAATAAAATACTTAAGATTTTTTCTCTAAAAAGTTACTGAAATCTTTTTGGCTGGCTATATGAACATCGCTTCTGTTCCCAAACCTCTCCTCAGGGGCACACCAGTCATTCCATGTATTCGTTACATTTCTTCATCAGCTCGATGAATTAATTTTTTCATTAATTGAGTTGATTACTTAATTAGTTACTTAATTGAAGTATTGATTAGCCTAGCAAGGTGTGCTAGCGGTCGAGTTAAAAAAAATGCATGTTAGATGGTTATTGGGGTGACTTTAGGACAGGTTTTGAAATGGCTAATGTTGGCTTTTCCACTGGCATAGAGGAACCAGGCTGTACCCAAGCTGTACCACGAAGAGACACTAGTTACAGCACGGTTCCAGCTTGCTTTGGCTTTTCACTGCAGACGGGTCGGCTCAGTAAGGCGTTGCTAGTCAGCGTGGGTGTGGGTCAGGTATGGCTCACGTAATATACAAAGGAAAACCGTCTCTTTGCAGTGTGGATCAGGCATGGCTCTGCACAGTACTGTATGCAAAGGGATTTCACCCTGCATTTCACTTTGAAGGAGTGCACAAATCTTGTCCATCATTTTTGTGCTAACATGTTTATATTTTCATATGTTGTTGCTTGCTTTTGAATGAGTTCAGACTTTTTTAGTGCTGAATAACTATCAGCTGTCAGAGAAAAGAGGCAAACTGTGCAGCCGTGGATGAAGGGTAGGTGCTGAGACAGTGGTCTACAGGCAGATGTCAGGCCCCTAAAGGCTTCTGGAAGCTTTAGCTTGTTGGGTGCAGGAAATTAACTATCAGTAGGGTGAAGGGACTGGAATGGCATGGAACAGAAATTCTGTGTGATCTTTGCTGTCAGAGGATGCTGGGGATTGCCTTCTCCGTTAGCAAACCCGGTGTCTTAAGGCAAACACCCGTCACTGAGAATTTGCTTCTGAAATCTCAAGAGTGCTTTATTTTCAAGTGGACCACACTCCCTGGAGTAGAATGACCTGCTGCAAAGATGACATGCCAATTCTTCAGGAAGCAGGTGCATAGTAATCCGAGAAGGTTGTGCCCTGCAAACTTGTAGCTAGAGTGCCTGTTGTTGTGGCTGTAAGAATGAGAATCTTCTACGTCTCCATTTAAATTTGCAGTTGGCTTGTCTTTTCTGCTGCCCGATTTGGAAAAGCGCCTCTTTTGATTTGTGTCCGGAGTCCATGTTGTTTTCGCACCATCAGCTGTGTAAACCTGCAGAACCACAGTCTGTAACTCAGTGATGCAAAGGCCATATACCGCCAGTCGCCAAACCATACTGACTTTGTCATTCTTTTCTTTTTTTTACTCATCAAAGTGCTTGAAGACACCATGATGTGAGTTACTGTGTGTCCCTGTGTTTTCCGTATCCCATTTTGTGATTTTTTTTTTTTTTAAAGTGCTGTGCGGTGATTCTGGTCTGCCTTCGCCGCTGCGTTCATGCCTGGCTCTGACTCACTTACACCCCCCCACAGGTACCAGGTGGAAGATGAAACATCCCACCTGGATGAGATGCCCCTGATGATGTCGGAGGAGGCTTTCGAGAATGATGAGAGCGACTACCAGACCCTTCCTCGGGCCCGGGTCAACCAGAAGCAGCGTGGGCTGGGCTGGTTCATCCTGGGCGGCTGGAAGATAGTATGCTGCAGGTACATAGTTACTGCGTTTACTGCGGTACTGAGGCCTGCGGTCTTAGATAACCTAAGGACCTTATTTACTTATCATCCTGTCAGTCCTTAACATCAAAGAACTGACTTCACTTAGGGCAAGTCTGCTATATGCTTTAAATATACATTTGATCATCTCATGGTCAGCAGACGACCAAAAAAATATGACAGGAGTACTTCTGAGAAATGGGGGGGGGGGCATATTCCACATTTGGGTTTTTCAGCTTCAGGCCGGAATAGCCGCGCTCGCTTGTGACCACCGCTGCGTTTTTTGGGCCTCGCCGCCTGCCGTACACTAGCCCTCTTGTTTGGCCACTGGTGTGTGGGCAAGGCTCAGTTTGGATTCCCAACGCGTCAGTGGCTTAGCGTGAAGAACACAGGTAAAGCGAGACTGTTTGGTTGACTCGCTCGATGCACATCAGCAGTCTGAAATCAAATCAAACAGCAAAAAAAAAACACCCAGCTAAAAATGAGCCATTAAGCTAATTTTGCCTAATGATGGAATTGCTTTTAATGTATTTTTTATGTTGGAGTTAACTCTGGCTAGGAGCCCATTTAGGCTATAATGTTCATTCCTGACTTAACTTTGATATGATTTTCAATTTTTATATACTTTTATAGACATATCTTTGCACTTATGACCAAATTTTTCCCCCAGATGAATTCATAATTTTGTACATTTTAGTCTTTATTGTTATTTGTAATTCAGCTATTGATTGTAAATAAAGTACCGCTTTATTTACTTCAGTTTTATTTAAATTACTTCTTAGCACATGAGGAATGTTAATTCGCTGTCCTTTTGACTTTTTATTTTTGTGGAATATAAATTTTAATTGTAAAATTGATTGAATGCACAGCTTTCACTTCAGTTTGATTATCAGTGATGCATCTCAATTGCAAACTTAATATTGATCTTTTTTTTCTAATGAACAAATAGGATTTTTCACAGCTGACTAATTTAATGCTTTCCAGTATTTTTTTGTATGCTTAGTTTTCGGATTATGAAATTCGAGTAATTCAAGCAGAATAACTTGGTCGATCCCAATTTTCTGTTATTTAAACAACCTTCATTTGTTCAATGAATCTTTCATATGAGTCAAGAATTAATCAAACTTTGGCTCTAGTAGAGGGGATGCATAAGGGCCAACACAAACACTCATTTTTCCAATTTATTTGGAACATGTTCTAATGGCAGCTTCAATCAATATGTCAGTTTACATTATTCGGAAATTTGCTTCCTCTCTTGTCCTGTGACCAAGTCTATGATAAGCTTTATTGACAGTTTTTTTAGTAGGGGACGGTTGATGTAACAGAGGTAATTTATCTCTGTGCAACATGGAATTATACTATAATCTTTGTAGAATTCATTGTCTCAGAGTTTGGGGTTCTGTTTTACGTTTACCATGAACACATTTTTCTTCTTCATTACAGGCAGTTCTATTAAGCATCTTTCTGAAATGGCATTTGTTTCATACACAATCAGTAAAAGATACGTGAAAGATGTCAATATAAGACAGATCTCTTGTTGGTTAATCTGTGATTTCATGCCAACACGTGGCAGAGTCACACGCCTTGAGGGATCCGGTCCCTGGACGAATACATTAAACATTCATCTCGGTCGGTTAGCCGACATCCTTTAGGAAGTGCAACTCTTTAGGGGTGTGATGATAAGCTGATTTGAATTGGCAGAAATGTCTACGATGTGGTTGCATCAGTAGAGAACGCCCAGTCAAACTTTGATTTATTAATCGGCCAAAAAACCGACATATGAAGCCAAAGTCACAATAGATACAAATGTGTTTTTTTTGTATCATGTAATATCATGCAAGAGATACACACCCCTACTCCATCCATCCATCCAGGGCTGTACTTTACTTGGCGTGTTCTGGGCGTGTTCTGGGCGTGTTCTGGGCGTGTTCTGGGTGTGTTCTGGGCGTGTTCTGGGCGTGTTCTGGGCGTGTTCTGAGTGTTTGCAGGCAGCAGCTTGGGTGGCCGCTGCAGTGAGGCCCCTAACCTTTCAGAAGGTTGAAAATGCCGGGAAACCTCATTAGGAAGCCATGTCAAAGGCAGCCCGTCAGCATGATTAACGTCTGCAGAGCTCTGTGTTTAATTAGCTGATGGTTTTTGGGCTCAGCAGCAGAGGCAGCGCCGCAAAGAGACCACTTCCTGTGACGCGGGCGAGCGCACGAACCACTGCTGCTATGCTTAGGCTGCTTTGTACTCTCGTGTTGTGTTTGTACATCACTTTTTTTAGGCACATGACACAGGTTAAGGAAAAATCACCCTTAGTCTGATACTGCTGCTCTGAATAATTCTGATAATAATTCTTCAAGTCATATAATTCTGCTATTAATCCTTTTTCATTTTATGTCTAGGTCATATAAATTAAGAACTTTTGCATGTGCTTGAGAGATTGTATGTTCAAATCCCATATCTGGCAGTGTTCGGGATGTTATTCACAGAAGTAATCCATTACAGACAGAGGTGGAAAGTTCTGGGCGAGAAAGTACAAACCCAGACCAAAGTTTTGTTTCAGTCAACCAGTTGAGTAATCTGTGACTGTGACTCTTTATACTCAATTGGTTGAAACAAAACCCTGGTCTGGGTTTGTACTTTCTGGACCTGAACTTTCCACCTCTATCTGTAATGGATCACTTTTTTGAGTAACTTTCCCATCACTGCTGGCAGAGTAATTATATTGCAATTAGGTCCTCAACTAAAGCCCTTAACCCCAATCACTCCTGGGCGTCAGATGATGGCTGACCCTGACCTTTGATCCCTAGGTTTTCTCTCTTGTACGTTAGCCACATATATGTCAATTTATTTTCCTCTCCAGCTGTGTAATAAAGCTTACAGTACACTGAGAATTGGGCCGTAATACTTGCTGAGTGATTTAACTGAAGCTGCAGTGCAGTAGTTGCAGTAGCCGTCTGCTCCCACTGTGGCTCTGAGGTGTTGGTATTGAGATCCCGCTACCCGCTGTCCACAGCTGCTGCGAGTGGCTGGCCCACATCTGCCGCAGGAAGAAGGAGCTCAAGGCACGCACCGTTTGGCTGGGCTGCCCGGAGAAATGTGAGGAGAAGTACCCGCGCAATGCCATCAAGAACCAGAAGTACAACGTCTTCACCTTCGTGCCTGGGGTGAGTGTGCGGCATCAGCGCAGTGTGGGAACACGGAGCCGAGGGCGGCAAAGTGGCCCTCATTCTGCACGGGAGACAGTGACGGTCTGCCGCATTTCACTGTGAAAGCATCACTTTTGATGTCAAATATATCCAGGAGGTCCACAGGTTAACAAACAAGATCAGTTCCCAAAGTCAGTCTTTAAGTCAAATCTGTTAAGTCGGAAAAATAACTATGCAGTACATAATAATATTTATAAAGTAATAATAAAAGTAACTAAAGAAAATATTGTACTGTACCTCAAACTGACAAACTGTTGAAGTCGTGCAACATTTTCACGAACATCACAAATGTCGTGCGTGTCTTCGTTATTACGATCCGTTGTACTTAACCCCAATTTTTTATATAATAAGCTTTATGGCAATCAGTTCCTTAATACGAGTTCTCTGTAAGTCATACATTCTTAATCTGGGGATTATTAAGAAAACAAACAAACAAACAAAAAAAACACTTCGGCACTGGGGTATGTTTGAGTTGGGTTAGAATAGCTGTGTATCTCACTAGCTCTCTGTCTTAGCCAGTGAACCCAAGCTGAAATCCTGCAGGTGAGGCCTCTCTGACTTGTAAATAGATATAACATAACTATCATACCTTGGTACAATGTGCCTCAGCCAGATACTGGGTGTGTTAGGGTGTATTACTAAAAACGATAAGATCAAAAGAGTTCGTCAGTGTTCATTCAGTAAGCTATTATTATTCGAGGAAGGTATTATCGCATAACACCCTGATACTTTGATTCCTTTGTCCATGTTCATTGGGGCCTACGTGAGCAGCACAAATACTGAAATTGAAAACCAGCTGAATTTACGCGTGAAGTACCGAAAAAACTTGGGTTTTCTGTGATTAATAGGAGGAAAAGGAAAAGGGAGCGAATCCAGTTAGTATTTGAATAATTATGGTATTTCCACATTTCTGCTTTAATGTCAAAACTTTGCATCAAATAATGTTCACCGAGCAAAATAGATTTTTAATGTTTATTATGTTGCTGGGCTTTGTACATTTCAAAGGAGGTTTGTTACTTAGAGAGTATTCTTGATATAATAAAAACAAAATTATCTTGAAGTGTGTAGCCAGTGAGTGTTTCATTTGTGATTTGCTGATACATTCTTGGGCTCTATGCTCCTTGCATTTTGTTAATGAGACACCTGCTGTATCACATACACTGCACATCATTTAAAACATTGCAGCCCCGCAATGTGTCATGACCTCTGTGATGCATGTCGTGTTGTGAGTTGCGAGCATTGCTACCCCCCCCCACAATCATATAAATGCTGTTTATACAGAAGTATAAAAAAGTAAGCCGGTAATTTAAAAAATGTGACATGTTTGACAGCCTCTGTCAGATCTAAAGTGATGTAGATATATGGGGCCTTTGAACTGCCTTATTGCCAAATGCGGTGTTAAGTTATCTGTGACTCTGGGCTCAGACCAGCTTATGCTCCAGGTTTTGCTTAAGTGACCATTCCAGGGTCAGCCTGTTCCTCCCATTAGTGCAATTCTGGGGGAAAAAGTGTGATCTATTATATCTCTTTATTAAAACGCACAAAAACTAATGGCTACATAATTAAGAGACTTATCTCTTGTCAGTGCAATAAAATGTCAACTGTCTGTCGAAGAAATAAATATTCCCATCTTTATTGAGCCAGGACTTTAATTTCGTCCTTGGTTTAAATTATTAAATGCACAGAAATTGGTTAAGCAGTGTGCATTTTCCTGAAGGTCACAAAGTTCATTAGCCGCAGAGTGTTATTGATTGCAGATCCCTTTAAAGCCTCTGTGTAGACTGTCTGCCCTGATTATTATTCAATCTAAACCTTTCATTGGGCTGCAGGAGGAAGGAGAGAGATGCCTGTTGAATTTTCCTGATGCCTACCGCCTGCTCTCCTTACATGGCACTGCTGTGTCAGTCCTGTCTCTATATGCCGTTTGAGGCCAGACTCCTGCCCTTCCTTTGTGGAGCAGGAACATCACAGAGTGGCTTGTTCATACGCGCATTTTTATACATGCTCTCTGTAAGCCTATGGTGATATACCTCGTCATGCTCTCTGATCAGTTTCTTGTGCACCGTGTTGCCACTTGTGTTTTAATAAGCATTTCTGCACTTCAGGCAGCGTGTGCTAATGGCGAGTCCAGCAGAAGCCCGTTCCGTGTTGCTCTGTAGCAAATGAAGGGCAGTTCTGACCCGGTTAGCTGCTTGGGCAGACTCTGTCAGTCAGGATCTACATTGTAGAATCTGTACGGATTTCCCTGCCAAAGCGCCGCTGACCCGAGATGCCAGTCTGAGTCTGGCACGCTGTGTACCTACATTTAAATCAGTGTTTCCCAATCCGGTCCTTGGGGACCCACAGACAGTCCACGTTTTTGCTCCCTCCCAGCTCTCTACTGGTAGAGAGCTAGGAGGAAGCAAAAATGTGGAACGTGGAGGGAGCTTGTGCTCGGGCCGAGTTCGCTGGCAGTGCCCGATTCCCTCTGACACCCTCTCCTCTCCTTTCAGGTGCTGTACCAGCAGTTCAAGTTTTTCTTGAACCTCTACTTCCTGGTGGTGGCCTGCTCTCAGTTTGTCCCAGCTCTGAAAATCGGATACCTTTATACCTATTGGGGCCCTCTGGTAAACACAAGTTTGTCTCTTACCTACAGATCGAATGAGTCCTATGTCCACATCATTGTTTCCGAAGTATTCCCTGTGCCGTCATAACATAACGTTATAACCCAGTTTGTATAACTTTCAATTACTATTTTCTCTTTGCTGTCTCTGGAAATGTCATCTCTTTGTTGTTTTTGTAGGATGTTGGTTATGTGCCGTGATATTTATTTATTTCTGAAGTCGGCTGAGGCAGCCCAGTTGAAATGATTCAGGAATGTGCAGCAACATAATCTGTGTGATGAATTTATTAAGGAAGTGCTCACATTTCTGTGTCATAAATAAATTATCGTAACTTTATATTTCTATGACCGTCTTCAAGTGGTGTTTAGTTGCATATCATGGACAAAATACCGTTGACATTTTTTTCAACCTTGTCATGTAAAAGCCAGTATTTTGTACTGAGTATAGGCCCATGGAGTGAATTTTAAACATTAAATTTTTTTTTTAAAGTAACATTTTAAATATTATGATGCTTCAGAAGTGAAGGTGAAACTTGAAGTAATAATATAACGTCATTTATTATTGCACCTAATGCAGTCCTATGTCTCAGTGGGAAAGTTCTTCAAATATAATTGCTGTTTCTAAAACGATGAGATTTATAAAGTAATTATATCCTGCCGGGAAGTCTCTCAAGGTGTATAATTTTCCACACTTCACATTACCAAACAATAATTATGTTGAAGTTTTCAATTACGATACTTCTATTGTAGCTTCCTGCGTAAAATCATATACTTTTGTTAGACTAGATCAGTGGTTCCCACTCCAGTCCTCAGGGACCCGCAGTCGGTCCTTGTTTTTGCTCCCTCCCAGCTCTCTGCCAGACAGTCCATGTTTTTGCTCCCTCCCAGTTCTCTGCCAGACAGTCCAAAAACATGGACTGGATTGGGAAACATTGGACTAAAAAATATTATGTTGTCATTTATCACTATTCACTTTTGCCTTATTGTGGACTGTTCTGTGCTTAGTGATGCGCAAGTACATCTTCAACACGCGTTTCGTGGTTGGGGAGTATATGCCTCCCCATTATTTATGGAACAAGTCATAGGTCCTTTAAATTTTGCTTGTTGTATTGATTAGAATTTTGTCAATGAAATAAAGAGTTTGCTATATGCAGGATTAAATTATATAGGTCTGTTCCTGCTTTTGTAGGTTTTAACGGTAGTCTTTGGAACACTAAAACAATTAGAATATCTTGCTCTGTCCAACTAGACCTATCAATCTAGATGTCACTGTAATGTTGGGAATGTAGTGCACAGCACCTGGCTGTTTGCATCTGTGGAGCGACTTCATATTGAATTACAGGGGACATTCAGGGTGTGAGGTAACCGTTAGCTTTCATTGCTGCGTGTTTGAGGCCCAGGGACATGCTGCTGTTGTTGTACCCCAGAGAAACACACTTAAAATGAATAGCTCTGTTAAAATACCCAGCGGCATAAGTGAGTGTCTCAGAAAAATAAGTAGCTTCGGAAATCTGCGTCAGAAACATTTGTTTAATACGACTCTTCAGTCATGAAAGAATGTGACACCACATCCCTCTGCCTGCTCGTACAGAGCTTCGTGCTGGCTGTGACGATGGTGCGTGAAGCCGTCGACGAGGTACGCCGCTACCGGAGGGACAAAGAGATGAACTCGATGCTGTACGGCAAGCTGACAGTGCGAGGTACAGTATGCCTCTCTGCCGGCTGTGCGTCCGCAGAAGTCAGCCTGGGCTTACAATACCCCCCACCCACAACCCCCAGAGAGCAAAAAAATTTAACCTTGTGAAGCTGTTCATCTTTAGAAGTGCAACTATCCCGAATGTATAAAAATGGCAGCGTGTGTGATTCTACAGTGCACTGTTGTGTAAGAGTTTAAAAATAACCACAAGCTCCTACCAGTAACGCCATTGATATTAAATAAATTCTTCTGCCCGTGTAATTACTATAGTCTCCTAACAATGTATTAAGTTATTAAATTACCCTGAATTAATCAAATTTCCATTATGTTTATGATCTGGGTTATTTTTAATTATAAGCAGTATTCTGTAGTTCAGTTGAAGTGAGGCTGTGCGGATGTTTGAAGTTTTGTCCGTTTTGCTTTTCGGGGTCTTTCTGGAAAGATCTTGCTAACTAAAATGAACCCCAATCTGGCAAGCTTACTGGGCGATTGAAATAAATATTTTAACATTCCCCAGTTAATTTTCCTTTGTGAAACGGCTAGCTGGAGATTTCTGGGGCCCATGAGAGCGTATATTAGGCGCCCCACCCAAACCAATCCAGCTTTGTTCCGCATTTTTTAGGGAATCGCCCCAACTTCCCCCACTGTAATGCCTCTACCTACTCTTCAGTCCATAGTTTATATTGTAGATCATTTGGAAAGACAGCAAAAAGATACAAAATCTCTGAAATTTAAGATATCAAAGCATAAATCACATTGATTCTTGGCACCAAAATCAACTCGTTACGTATTTTCACATGAATGGTCTATATTATTTTCAGCTTACTCCGGCACGTTGCTTTCCGATTTCCTGCTTTGCATGTCCCCTTGATGTGACTTGTAACAAATGCGTTGTACTTCTCTCTAATTAGACCGATTTAATTCCCATAAGACCCCTCCTTAATACACATGGAACATCCTGCAGTGTGGTGTGTGTATAGATAGATAGATTAGATAGATTAGATAGATTGATTGATTCTTTATTTGTCACATGGCTGCTACAACATACACTGAAATGCTTTTCCGGCAAAAAGTACCCCGGCTGTGCTACACATACAAAAGGAATAAGTACTAACATCACAGGAAGATAAAACATATATAATACGCATAAGTATACAGAACATTGCACTGTGAAAGTATAAATTGCACTGTATACAGATTGCAGTGTGGAGATATAAATGTCACTGTAGATGTGCCATGAAGTGCAGATATGTCCCTGTGTGTGTGTCTGTCTGAAGCTCTGACGTGGGCTCAGAGGGAGCTGGTGGATGTGCCTGCTGGGTGGATGTGATCGGCAGTGACCAGTCGTGTCTTTGGCTTCCTCTGGGCTCCACATCCCGGATCTTTATGAGGCCCTGTTACTCTCACAGGGAGAAGCGCAAGGCCAGGAAGACCAGGAGACAGGCTATAAGCTTACTGATACTATACTGATACTATAAGCTTACTATAAGCTGACTGACTTTCCCTCCGGTTTTGCCGGCAGGTAAAGTGCAGGTAAAGAGCTCCGACATACAAGTGGGCGACCTGATCATCGTGGAGAAGGTTGGTCTCGCGCTGCCGCTCGCCTTTTCACCAGCTTGTTGTCCTCCAATCACGTTTCCCATCAGCCCTGCGCTATTGATTTGTCGCAGTAAAGCCTGGAGTTCGACATCAATTGAGTTGGGGGGGGGGTGTGGTCATCACAAATGTGTAGGTTGGACTTGCGTGATTTCTGACCGCCTCTGCAGAAAGGGGCCTTTTATGATCTTGGTGACTTCTAGCAGGCCAATATCATAACCCACTGAATACAAACCCACTGTACAGATTATGATGGCTTGGGGATGGGCGATAGTGGGAGCCTCACTTTCTCATCAGCTTGAGTGCTTTTAGTCCGATAGGGAGCTGCTTTCTGAGGAGCCAGATGCTCTGTAGAGCTTCAGAAGAGTAGGGGATAGCACCTGTGCTTTCGTTAGCATTGATCTGCAGAGGTCAGGACCTTTGAAGGGACTTTTTGACTGATGGTGGTCTTAGCTTAATCAACACTAGTTTTTCTTTCTACGTATAAGGGTGGGGGGTTCAGTTGGGTCTTTAAGAACACTATTTGCTTTGGCTTAATGTGTATATAGTCTTTTAATCTGCTTTTAATGCTGTGGATGGTTTGTTTTTTTATCATTTTGTTGCAGAACCAGAGAATACCCGCTGACATGATTTTTCTCAGGACGTCGGAGAAAAGCGGTATGTGGCATTTGTGGCAGACAGAATTACTCAAAAGCTTGTAGAAGTTGTCATTATAATTAAAAAGGAAATAGTGTCCCTCAGTTATTACTGTAATCTGCAGCATAGCCACATACTTCATTTGGGGGGAATGACATAATTCATTTACCACTGTTTTAATGTCCACAGAGTCTTACTGAACACTCACACAAGCAGCTGTGATTAGGAAAGCTCATCATTCATCCTCTATTTGTTGATGTGTTCAGATCAAAATGTGCTACTGCACCTGAAAGTTGCCGTTTCGCATCCCAGGAGGAACCAGGTCTTTGATCAGAGCCCCGAACCGGATTTTGTTGCAGTGAAATGAAAACGGGGTCGCTGGAGCAGGTGGGGGTTAAGGGGCTTGCCTAAGGCCCAATGGTGAAATCACTAGGGGATTTAAACTGATGACCTACCGATCACAACCACAGCATCCAGACTCAGTGAGCCACACACCACCCTATGTAACTGGGTTCTTGTGTTAAGTGGATTTAAATAAAATAACTGAATAGTTGTAATGATAATAATATCATACATTATCTCTGGTCTCAAAAACCCAGAAATCACCTGCAAACCCAAAGTGTGCCACACTGCTACGTTCCACCCCAACGCCCCCCCCCCTCCCAAAACCTGATGCTGCATTTACTTGCGAGATAGTGGATGCCAGTGACCCTAAGCCCTACTGGGCGGGTGCCCCGTGAGTCCCAGGGAGACCAGAGCCCAGTGTTCCCAGTCGTCCGTACTCTCCCCCTCCTGCGTGTCACCAATCAGACTCCACTTCCTACCTCGGATTAGGAAAATCGGGACCAGGCGAAGTGTGCACATAGTTACATTGTTGTAAGCATATCGGTTACAGGAAACAAAAAAAAAATGCTTTTATACCTTCCATGCCAGTCCTGTGATATGAACAGTAGATTTCAGGAAATGTGCAAAATTATAGTTTCCTGATTCTGAGGGCACCCCCCAGGTACCCCCCAGGTAGGAGTTTGAGGAAGCTGGGACACTTCAGGGAATGTCAGACGGCCAAAGGTGTACGTTAAGTTCACCCATGTTGCAAAACACGTCCCTTTAACCCCAGAAATCCCCTTTCCCTTTAAGGAATTTGATTTAAGTGAGACTGAAAAAACCCCGACAGAGCCTCAAACTCGGCACACGGTAATGCTGCAGTTGGGGGGGCGTCCCTGTGTGTTGGACACAAAGCGAACGCACGGCTCCTTTCTAAACGTCAGACAAAGAGGCCAGTGGTGAAAGGTTTTATTGAGAATAATCCATCAGTTTGATTTGATGAAGCGAATGTATTATTCATTCTTGGGTACATAATAAGTGCCTTATTAAATGTCACAGATATGTGATCTGCGAAGGATGATGAGCCTTCCTCAGTAACGTGCGCTCACGTTGCTCTTCCCTACGCATCTGCACCCCCCCCACCCCCCCCTCCCGACAACTTCATTACCCTGATGCACTCTCTCTGCCCAATCACACACAATCTGCAAAGGCTGCTGATACTTTCAGATGGAATTACAGCGATGTGAAATTTCTCCAGCAAAACTATTAGCGCTGAGGAGTGTCATTGTCTCAAAGACCTGCTACAAAGAGATGCTTTGCGGGTCATCTCCTAAGTTTTAGCTCTACAGTGATTTTGACATCTTTTTGCTTTTTTGGAGCAAAACAAACTCCCAAAGAAATGATGTCCCAACGAAGCTAGTCTTGTTTTTTTGTCTTTGTAGAATTATGCGTTAATTAATGTCCATGGCCTACATAGACAGAAATGCAGTGTGTGTGCATAGCACATGCTTTTGGGTTTGTGGGGAGCTGCACTCACTTCCTGACACGCTTCTGATGCGCAGACATCACTGGCCAGAAGTGGGTACAGTATTACCAGTGTCTGAAAGAGATGAAGGTAATTTGAGAATAATCACCTTATGCAGAATTTACCGCTTTGAACAGGATCTGCGCATCCAAACACGTCAGTTAAGAGGGAGTCAGCGTGGAATGTTCTCGTCTGAAGAGATACTTTCGTGGTTTCCGGAAAACCGTGAAATTTTAACGTGCCGCAGAGTAACCCCATGCATAATTGCGAGCGCGTATTAATCGCCAACTGTAATCATTCAAAACAGGAGTGACGCAATGTCAACTCCAGTGTCTGGTGGAGTCCCTCCTGATTAATCAATGGCTTCATCGGTTTTCTAACTCTGGCTGAATGTCACCTGGGCCTCCCACTGGACGCGTGGACCTGGACAGAAAGGGCCTGCAAAGTAATTTCCATCCATACATGTGAATATAAGACAGAAGTAGCCTTTAAACACGCCATCATTGCCAGTGACTGACATTATGGCGAAACTTGGAAACTTCTCATATGCTCTCTGTCTGCCAGATGACTTCTGTTATAGTGGTTCTGTTAATTAAGAAACATTGAGACTCCAAAAGATGGCCAGTGACATTATTAAAGACTCAACACTCCCTGGACACTCTCTGTTTGCTCCCCTTTTCTCTGGATAAAAGATTCAGGACAATCAGATTCAAAAGAAAGAGACTCAGGAACAGCTTCTACCCAAAGGCTTTTACCTCTGTAACCCCCCCCCCCCCCCATTACCCAAGACTGATAACATCCATTATTTCACTATATTTTGTATTTTAGTATTTAAGTATTTTAGTTGTCTTTTTATATTCTCTATTTTTGTAATTTACATACATTTTGAATATTGTGCCAAAGTGCCAAAGAAAATTTTGTTGTTTCATTTACTATGACAATTTACTATGAAAATATTGTCTGTCTATCTGTCTGTCTGTCTGTCTGTCTGACAATCTGCTGATCTGTCTGTCTGTCTGTCTGTCTAATTGCTAACCGTTTTAGCCGTTGCGTGCACGCATGGTGACTGCTATCATCCTGAGTCTTTAGGAGCCTCCAGCTTCTCCCATAATTTATGCAGTAGCGTTTGCACCATGTTTTTCCTGAGTGCCATTTATATCACCATGTCTGCTTTGTTTTTCCCCTTTATAATTACCCAATGTCTTGACTAAGCTGTATGTAAATACGCCTCGGACACGGAACTCCCATAATGCAGCGCAGGTGTTAATGCCGCCGTGGGCTGACCTGATGTGATCTGCTCTGACAGCTGATAGATGTGCTGATTCCAAAGCTCGCCGCCCTCTCTCCTTAACAGCCCATGTCAATTATACAAAATAAAAGGCTGGCTTTCATAAGTGTAGTGTAACAGGATATCAGCTGACTGTGCTGAATAATTCAGCTATGGTTAGGCTTAGCTCCCACTAGTTATAACTAATGGTTGCCTCTCTCAAAATAATTGCAGTCATATTAGCTGCAAATTAAAAGCTTGTTCAGCGAGTGCCCGACCATTTTAGAAAAGTGTAATTTCATTTATTATTTGGTTTCTGCAGTTTCATTCATCAATGTTTCAGTAACGGCAATTGTGCTTTGTGTCAGGTCTTCTCGATGTATTATCCCTAATGAGTGTCTTTGAAATGGGCTCCAATCTTGCTGAATATTCAGTGGTCTGGTGTGGGCATGCATATCGCTACACTTTGATTATGAATTAAGTGGGATATTTTCATGGGGCTACAGCAAAATGTAAACTGGTTGCAATGTCTTGACATAGCTAAGTGCTTCTGTTAAAGAGGAATTGAATTTGAATTGTTGGACTTGCAGCATGGTGATACTGTGATTTTTATCCTTATTTTTCCTTAAACTTAAAAAATGTGGACTGTCTGGCCTGGAGCAGGAAGAGAGCAAAAACGTGGACCGTCTAGGGACCCCTGAGGACCGGATTGGGAAACACTGTCTTAACCCGACACTTACCATGCAGCTCTTGGGCACAATGTGCTCTAGCACAGTTATGGTCACGGTCTCAGTCACGGTCATCGTCACCATCTCTGTGGTTGCTGCCTCTTTCACCACCTGATGAACCTTCCGTTGAATAGGAGAACCTGTCGTATCTGTGTTTAGCCTGTTTAACGTGGCGAAGGCTTTTCATGCAGCAGTATGGAAGAGTCTGATGGAGATGGCAGTGGTGCTGGTGAGTAACACGTCTGCTCTCTGCCTCAGGGTCGTGTTTCATCCGTACGGATCAGCTGGATGGAGAGACGGACTGGAAGCTGAAAGTCGCCGTGGCCTGCACACAGAGGCTCCCCGCGCTGGGGGTGCGTTTCCTCTGCCAATTCTTATCTGATTTAACATGCATATAATTCAGTGAAACAAAAGTAAATATACTAGCATGAGTACTGTAGCAATACGGGTGAAGAGCCTGCCTTAATTTGTAACTAGGACTGAGCAATTAATCAAATTTTAATATTATGAGTTTGTCTTGCGACAATTATCAAAACACGATAATTGCGATAAAATTATTATTGTGGCGCTTTTTCAGTTCGTTACGATGCTCCTGTTTAGTCTTGTTTTGTAGATCCAGTGCTTCCCTTTCTAGCCTGTTTCTATTTGTATCTATGGAAACCCACTGGGGACGCCTGGGTAGCGGAGTGGTTAGCCCTGCTGCCCCACGATCTCCCCGTGTCATCGTGGGGTCTCCTCCGGATACTCTGATTTCCCCACACAGTTCAATACCATGCTGAGGTTAATTGGAGTTACCAGAAAGCCCATCGGTGTGCGTGTGCGAGTGCGTGGTGTGTGTGTGCGAGTGAGTGGTGTGCGTGTGCGTGTGCGAGTGAGTGGTGTGCATGTGCGTGTGCGAGTGAGTGGTGTGCATGTGCGTGTGCGAGTGAGTGGTGCGTGTGCGAGTGAGTGGTGTGTGTGTGCCCTGTGATGGGTTTGCCCCTGCTTTGTTTCCTGCTTTGTGCCAATAGGCTCGGGACCCTCCCATGACCATGAATAGGACAAGCAGTTAAAGAAAATGGATGGGTGGATGGATGGAAATCCACTGCTAAAAAGACAAAGTACAATAAATGCATGATATTTCCAAAGTCAATGGGTAATATTGTGATTATGATTTTTCCCATAATCAAGGGGCCCTACATGTAGCACAGTGGAACTGTGCTACATGTAGCAGTGCTGTAGCAGTGATGTAGCAGTACATCGATTGGTGTCATGACATTCCGGTTAACCGTCATCTGTCCGACAGCCATGAATCACCTGGGTCATATGTCGACAGACGGGGATGTGGACCTTTTTTCCTAGAGATACATTTGAGCTCAGTTTACAGTTTTTACAGCATCACGTTTAACCCATACTAGCACACGTCAACATACACACGATGTACTTTGCGTTGCATTGTGATTTATTCTGTGGTGATTTTGAAGAGTGTTTGCCCATGTAAAGCATTAAGTCTCATGGTCGAAGCAGTAAAATCACTGACCTTTGGTGGAGAAGAGCCTCTTCTGTAACTGGATTGTATCTCTCTCCGTAAGATTCCGATGAACTGCCTCAGTGACATCAGATCAGTTTACCCAGTTGTGTTTTTCTTGCCTTTAGTTGCAGGTCTGTCTAATCAGGCAAGTACATCTTGCACCTGTCATTTATTTATTTATTGTTGTTTTTATAAAATGTGTATTTTATGCGTTTAAAGAAGTTTGTTAATGCAATGATTATCGCTCAGAAATTGTGCAGTTTTTGGCTGTGATTAAAGCAGCGATTGTAATGCACAGGAATGCATGCAGGCGTTGTCATTAAATCAAACTGATCTTCATTTTTTTAATGTGAAAGAAGATATTAGGAGAGTATGGGTTTCACCGAGTGAACCTCTGGTGGTCAGAAATGCCTTTTTCCTCAGCGTAGGCCAGCATAACTGTGAGGGCCTTTGCTCTTCGCCATCATCAGTCATGGCTGTGATTTCTGCATGTGTCTGATGTTGTGGGCCGCGGGTATAGAGACCTGCCATCGCCCCATCATCTTCGGGGGCCACCACGGCAGCCTGAATGAGTCAAAACCACGAGGCCTCCCAAAGCCATGCTTCAGTGGGAGATCATACAGCCTAAGGTCATCCGTTCAGATTTTGTCGTCTTCTCCAAACCACTTACCGTGATCAGATAGTTAAAATTTCAACAAGTCGTTTAATGATGACTTGTTGAAATGAAACACCCAGCTAGGGTTTCCAGTGGCTTGCGAGTCACGTCTTTCCTTTCCTTCGTTTTATATCTGCTCACTACACTCCGCTTTCTCAGTTTGGCATGATCAAGTGGATTTATTGCCGGCTTGCGGCCCTCAGTTTTGAATAATTGGAAACCTCCTGATTTATTCTCAGAGATCCGTTCACTGGGGGTTCATCGCTATTTAATTATCCCTCCTGCTCTCTGTTCTCTCCTTGCTGTAACTTCTGATCTTATGAAATGATTAAGGAAACTCTTCAAATGTTACCCCTCTGCTGAAACCTTATTTGATTTTATTTCCGGGACAGCCGTAACATTATGGGGCAGAGAAGGAAATCATAAGGGCATTTTAAGAATAAATAACGTGATCCTGGGTGAACCTTGTGACTAATCTTAAGAGTTTGGTGATCCAGTTGATCCCAGTCCTCAGGTGGCCATCTCAGTGTCGAAGGGCTCAGGAAGATGGCCTACCTGCGTTTTGCCTCAAAATAACTTCAAAACGTAACTGATGCAACTCGCTTTGCAACAGCAGCCAGGCTGAACAGTTCAGTTTTTGAACCATTTAAGCAACTTTGGCCAAGCTCACAGTCACACAATGGGAGCACCGACGGATCTCTCCGGTTGGCCGTGTGTCAGTGTTCACACACATGCCTGTGACACTTAATAGACACAGTGAATTTTCTTTAAATAGTAAAAGTGATGCATGCCTCTAGTAGCCCAGTGGCACCGCTCCACGCTCAGCCCACAGCCTGCCATTAGTTTATTTTTACCCTCATTCTTTCATCTAAGTACTGTGATCTTCTTTTTGGGGAGCTTACCCAGAAATGGCCTCCACTTTGTAGCAAGATGTTCTCAGCACTGTGGTGGGGGAAAAAAAAAAGATATTTAAGACGCATCATCATTCAAAGGTTTTTTTTTAATAGGCAGACTTACTGCTGGCCTGATTATACAAAGCAGCCCTAACTGGTGAAGCAGAGTTTCATTTTCCTGTCCAGTTCATGGGCTGGTTGAAGATAAAGTCCGGTGCCCCAGTCCTTGTCCAGTCCATGGATCCTTGGCAGTTGGGAGGATATCATGAGCTTTTACCAGACCGTGTGTCTCTGTGTCTGTCCTTCTTAGGGAGGCATCACCGCTGGGTGGCTGTTGTATTGCTCTGCATGGTAACCAGGCTCATCTTAATCATAGGTGATAACGGACAGGCGAGAATGATACAGATATAAGACACCAACTTGTGGATGGACATCATAAATTATTTGTTCTTGTGAACTGTTGACTGGGATGTTCTAGGCTATTAACAGCTGGCATGTAGAACACATTCAGTAATTGCTGGGGGCCACAGGGATGTGTGCATGCCTGTTTATTATTTGGATGTGACTTCTCTAGTTAGGGGGCAAAGTTATTGGTGAATGTCCAGATGTGTTCTATGTCAGATTTGCGTTATAACATTTTCGATCTTGCCGCGCTTCGTATAATTAGCAAATCCAGTTCATTCTGCAAAACTCAAATCACAAGGGGCTCTTCCTGTCCCTCACTGCCACTTCCTCTTTGACTGACAGTACTTGAGCAGGATCGATGCCCCTCTTCAGTAACGCTTCGGAATGAAAAGCGACCACTTGGGTGCCTGGCTTGATAGGCCAAACACCGGGAGATGTGCTCCGGGTTTCTGCAGATTCCTTGAATAAGCTTTCACTGCTTTAACCCAGAATGTTCTCCGATGCAGGCATTCGCCTCTTGCTGGCCGTCAGGTTGCCTCGCGTTGGGGATCAGCGCTGGGCCGAGAGAAACTGGGGAGGGTTCCGGAAGGACTTACGGGAGTGGTACAGCGTGTACAGTGAGCTCACTGTTCCCGGCCACATCTCTGCAGAACCGGATGACGTTCTCATGGGCCGAAAGTCACAAATACTTCCTGAACATCTGTTTCCTGATCAAAGCTGTTGGGGTTCTGAGCCCGATATGCTGCCGCAGGGCTGCAGTTAAAGCTTAGCGCTGCATGCTTTGCTTATGTTTCTGTTTGATTCCCCCACAGGACCTCTTCTCAATCAGTGCCTATGTCTATGCCCAGAAGCCTCAGCTGGATATTCATAGTTTTGACGGTAATTTCACAAGGGTAAGTATTCACTGTGGGTATTACAGTACAGAGGAACACTGCCCTCAAATGTTGATTCAGATCATTGTTATTTAATTAGAGGCCACTTGGGGTTTGTATCGAACTGCAAATCAGATGTGAAGCTTCCTGTGTGAGTCCAGACCCGATCGAGCATCGCTGGGATGCCGAGGAAGGGGCGGGGCCACTTGGCGTGATGTCAGAAGTGCTGTGGGCTCGTGCCGGTCGAGATGTTGATGGGCCGCACCCCCAGACGACATCAGCAGGCCAATGGAATCTCCCAGCTGCCTTATTAATAGCAAATCAGAGCACAGAGCACGCCCGGCCACAAAGAGGACCTTTGTCTGTCTGCTCTATTCTTGGCCACACTCTAGAATGAGTGAGAGTAAACCTCCTCGCCCTATTCTTCCCACAGCTCTGTTATCCAACCCACATTTTCACGTGGTTGTCCTATTTTTTTAAAAAAGGCCTCAATCTTCACATCATGCTTTGCACCATACACCGCTGAACTTCGTAAGAATGCCTGAGATTGTGCCACATCATTAAGGCTCACACAATCACTGCATAGCCGGGAATAGGTGTCATAACTGTCATATCAGGCTGGGAGCATGAGCTGAACACAAATCAGATCAAATCAAATCACTTTTTATTGTCACGTCACATGTCACCAGTACACAGGTACAATGCGTGTAAGTGAAATGCTTGTGTGCAAAGCCTCTCGAAGCAGCTGTAGTATGACACAAATTAATATGCAATCGAAATATAAGTATAAATAAATAAAACATGACATTTGACAAATCTATGTATGTACAAAATTGTATGCAGTTGTGCAATAAGAATGTACAGTTGAATAATGTACAGAAGAGCATCATGTGCAACGTGTGGTAAATGGCTGAGTGTCAATGCCCATTGTTAGTGGTCAGAGTTCAGCAATCTGCTGGTCCAAGGCCGTTCTTTTCAAGGTTCCTCACTCTGCCAGTCTCATTGGAGTCGTCCGTTTTCCTGCTAAAGCAGGGGGATCCCAACCTTTTGATGTCCGTGGGCTAGTTTGTGGCGTAGGAAAATTTCACGGACCAGTAAAGCTCCGAGGGGTGGGTGGGGCTGTGCCAATTCCATTTTTTTCAGATGTGGACAGAACACATGAACATAAGGGGTTGTAAAAAATTGAAAATATGTACTTTTATTTTTGGAAATTAACCAAACCCTCTAACAAACTCCTCAGTGTTCTGCTGCCTGTGGAATACTGGCTATGAACCAGTGCCGGGGTTGGGACCTCAGCTAAAGCTTGGCTCTTTCTCTGGTCGCACTCCCCCCCACCCCAGCCGCGGTGTCACAGTTGCTAATGGCATTGCTGGCATGGACACCACTGTATGCTTACATAGTGTGAAGGGGCCTTAGGCCTTCACAGGCCTGCCATAGGCCAGGCTCTCAGTGGTGTGTATGTGA